GTCAAGGACAGAAAGGCAGATGTGGCAGTGGAAGGTGTCAAAGCAGTTTGGAGAGACAAAGAACAAAAAAAAAGATTAATCAATTATTAAATTAGTCATCGATTATTTTAATAATCGATTAGTCGTCGATTAATCGTTGCAGCCCTAAAAATCAAAAAAGGTGGGACTGAGAAGGTGAGGAGTATAAGCAACATTTACATTTAATAAACATCCAGATGTCATCCAGAAGCTATTTTTAAAGAGAAAAAAAAATAACAGACTTTTGAGGTTTGCGGATTAAATTTGCTCAGTGTGCACTCAATTTATTTCTTGACTAAACTAAAATGATTTGTTATTTTCCTGATTTCATTTTAACTTTGCCTATTTTAATTTACATTTTATTATAGTCATTTTATCAAACATTTCTTTTTATATGCATCATTTCACCAGGCTCCCTGTTTTGTTCTTGTTTACAATAAAGCTTTTGTAAAAATAAAAAAAGACACCCAACAGGCAGATACAGTGCTTTGTAACTTTATTATAAACAAAAGAACATGCAGTTTGTTGAATACAGAGCACTTGTGAGCTGAGCAGGATGCATTTGTAAATTTGAACCTCTCTAGAATGCAGTTTGGGTGTGTAAGATAATTTTCCTCAAAATACGATAATTTTGAGCTGCTGATACGATARTTCAACATTTCCCATTTGGCAACACAGCACAAAATCTAAATTTGTCAACAGCATACTGCGTGTTTTTGTGAGCAACGTTACCTTAAAAAAATCCATCTTAAAATTATAAAGCACAATATTATAGCTCTGACATAATAAAGTGGACCCAGTCGTGTTTCTGCACTGATCTTGTAAAGAACAGCATCAAATTAGTAATCCCCAGTCACATGTACGTACGACTCGGCATGCTATTTGTTTTTAGCTTAGCTAGCTAATGCTAACTACGTCGTTGATGCATAAGTCTGTTTCAAATATACATTGAGCTCAAAAGTTGACGACTATAACGAGCTCATTCTGTTTAATGTAAATCCAAGCTGACTCTGCCCAGAGTTACACAAGGACAAACTGTTAGATGTTAGCTATGCTAAGCTAACTTAGTTTAAATTATTATTTTTTATTTATTTGTTGTCTAAATAAAACACAAAGAACAACCGGGATTGTCTCAACAACGTTTACCAAACAGAGACGTGTTACTTACAATATTCTTTTGTATGGCGTGAACAAAATGGGTTGCATGCTGGCTAGTGCGTTCCTCAAGGTTGGCAAATGCTACACGTGAATGGATGTACTTCCGGGGTTGCTGTTCGAAACAAAACAACTGCGCATGCGCAATGAGTTACATTATCCTTCAAAGTAAAGCTCAAAATCGGGAGTCTGCGCGCACTGACACTAAAATTAATGGTAATGGCAATGGCTACACATTAGTTGCTGCTATAAAAATATTATTGGTGTACAACAGATATTTATTAATTTTTCATAACACATGTTGAATGGCTGTTTACATAAGTGGAGAGTTTTCCCTGTATATTTTCTTGTATCTTTTCACTGTGTTCTAGAATACTTGATTCTTATTTCTGAATAAATTCCGTTTTCATGTTTTTTAGTTTTTCTCTATGAACATACGCTGCTGCAGCAGAGGGAGACCTTGTCCTATGACTGCCTCAGGCCCAAATTCCCATGGGTCTCACCTCACACCAGCCTATGATGCACTTGCAGCCAGAATGATTTAAAGCCCCCTGAGAGGAACATGAGTCCCTGGCTCAAATGTTTTAGACCTGGCAGGAAATGGACCACAGTGACAACTCACACTGTGCCTGGGAGGGAAGTTTCCATCAGTTAAGATGCCATGAAGTGAGTTTATGTGTGTGTCGGTGGGTCTTGGAGCGTAGCTTTTGATTATTTTTATTCAGTTGTAATGTTTATCACAAGCATTTTATTACACCACATCAAATCGTTACAAGTTTAAAATTAGTTATTTCTTACCAATCAAAAACATTTTTACAAATGTTTGTCATTTACTTTCTTTGTGTTGTACGTACGTGCTTGTTCACAAAACTCATTATGTTAACAGCTTTTTATTAACTCACATTTGTAAAAATATCCGAACTTCCTTTAGTTTTAGTCTCCAGTAATTTTGTGTGAGAAAAGAGAACAATGACTAAACAGTTGATAATACTATTTAAAATATGTGTACTTTTATAGATTAACTTGGTTTCCTGCAGCAGCGGTTCCCAAACTCCAGGTTTTGACTCACAAACTAATTGATGTAAAGATCTGAGACAAACATTTCTAATTAAAGTGAACAAACTTTGCCAAAAAAGAAAAAAGAACAAATACAGTGTTATAAGGGCAGCAAAGACAACCTTTATAGTTACTTTTGTCAATGTAAGGCTCCTGTTTTTATTTTTTGTAACAAATATTTCAAAAATCATACAAGTACAAATAATTTTATTCTAAATTAGAATTTTGTAGATCATCCCAGGACCCCACTTGCTGTTTTATGATCTCCCCTACTTTAAGAACTAATGTCAGTTAAAGGTTTAAGTCATTCCAGGACACACAACATGGTAATATACAGAAATATGATAAATCCAATTAACCCAATTC